TATATATACAGGCAAAACCTGTTTGCAGGTTGGGATGTTTTTATTTTGTGGGGTTCTATGTAGGCTGTTATGAGCTTCGGAAAGCGATTGAAGTCAACTGTTAATGCTATTGCTGTTTTACAGGGAGCTGAAGATCTGTTTTGCTTGTTTGTTTGTTCGTTTGTTATTGATATAATATGTCATGGGATTATAATAGGGTTGTTATTCAGACAAAGTTGTGTTATTTGCAATCTCAACTCAACTTGGTTTATAAAATTGTGACTTGTACTCATTCGTTTATTTAATGGGCCGAGCTAGAAAACGTAATTGAAATCGTTTGTGCGGGTTTTGGATTTGGATTATAGTGTTTTTGAGTCAAGTTGGGTTGAACTTACGTAAGGCAAACTCGAGCCCACTTTTTTGCTTGTTTATTAAATGAGACAGGTTAAACCGGCTCATTTATTGCACAAGTACGAGCTCAAAGATGGGATACTTGGCTCGACTTGAATAACACCTCTAGTTTTGGCTCTAGAGGCAATCCTTTGCAACTCCATCAACTTATATATGTGTATATGTGAGTGGGATGGGGGTTTGGTGGTGTTTTAAAAATTTTGTGATAATAAAGATAACATTAAGACTATAAAATATAAAACTTGCATGCAAAATAATTATTTTTTTAAATACATTTAATTTTTAAATTAAAGTATTTATTATATATTCTTATAATTTAAGCGGTAAAGTTTTAAGATGAGTGACGATGATATTAAGGTGGGTGTATTCTTTTGAGATTTTAAGAGACATTTTATAGTTATTTTTTTTTTTTAGATTTGAAACTTTAAATATGAATGTGGAATTTTATAAAGGTTTTTGTTTATGAAACCTCAACAAAATCTTAAGAAGTCTTAGTAAATCTCTTTGTCAAATAATTAAGGTTAATTTACATATACATTACAAAACGTTTTTCATTAATATGAACCTTCAAAATAAACCATTTTTACAAAAAAAAAAAAAAAGAACACTTTTATAATAAATTTACGAACTATTTCTTCTTTACGTTTACGTTTAATTTATTTATATTTTATACATGTTTATATTATCAAATCTTGTGACATAGCTAAAATATTTATGTACTTATATCAAAAGTAAACTATCAATAAATATTAAATAAACATTGAAATCCTCCACAACATAACATAAATATAAGATCACGCTCGATCTCACTATCTTCGATCACCATCTTCCCCACATCTCTTCCTCCATCACACTTTTCAACATGTTCACAGATCCTCTTTGGAAAAAGCCACCCCATCTTCTCCTCTCCACCTTCACCTCCACCCTCAAATCCCCTCCACCAGCAGATTTGATCCTCCAGCCGTGTTACCAGATCATCATCGTGCACGATGACGATCTGGCTCTCGCTCATCAGCATTCCAAAAGAATACACATCCCTTCATCTATAAAATTTACTTGAAAATTATTTATTAATACAATTTTTTTTTAAAAAAAAAAAATATTTAATTTTTATAATATATATATATATATATTGTAAGAGACTATAACGACTTTGAGATTTAAATCTTACTGATAACTTTTTTTTTTTTTTTACATATTAATCATTTATTTATTGATAAAT